GTCTGTCTAAAGTCATCTCTTTGACTTACGCATTTTTGCCTCTACATACAAAGATGATGGACCACATGAAAAAGAGGCCTCAGCTGATCACAAATGAAGCATTAGCTCTTCTCTTTGAGTCTTTTGGTAGGATAGTTCATATTTCTTTAACTTTGTAGACAGTAAATGTACTTTCAATCAAAGTACTCTGTGAGTTCACTCTGTGTTTAAACTTTTAATCCCATTTCTGCGACAAGGTATGATGAAGTGTAAAGAGATTTGTTTTGATTGAAAATAAGACATTTTGATTTGAAATAAGAGAAGTATTCTTGATAAGATTGAGGTTTTGCAGTGAACCTGTTCATTTACTGTGGTTTACTGTTAACATTCAGCAGCATTTTATTTTCTTTTTGCTTTAGGGTCAGGAAATGAACCTGATACTAATTTAGAGAAGGATTTAGATGACAGTGGACCTGAGATAGAAGAACATGACAAACACCAGGCAACAGATTGAAACAGGAAACAGCCAGTAAAGCTTCCACAATGGTTTCCGAGATATCGCAATTTCATTTTTTCACTTTTTTACATGGTCGCCAAATTTCAAATTGCATTTACTCAGCAACTAGTGCTCAAAAAATCAAGGTATCTCTGGAAAGGGGACATAATAAGGAATCCAATCATTTGCACTTGAGTACTTTTGAGATGAATTACCTTTTGACCTATATTTTGACCTTGAAATTGACAGTAAGGGACATGCCCAACCTCAATGACACCAACAGAAAAAATGTAGCCCTATACATCTACTTCAACATATAAAAAATCTGGAGTTTTTTTTTTTAATTTTCACACAAATTTACCTAGAAGTTGACTTACCCCATCTTAAGATGTGCCAAATATCCATTCAGTGTATACAGCTGAACATTTATACACACAGAATCTTAAGAGACAGAGACAGAGAATTACAATATTTAGGTTTGTTTTTTAAAGGGATAGTTCGGGTTGTTTGACATGAATCTGTATGGCATCCCTGTCACCAGTGTCGCGCATCCACACTGACTTACCGCCGACAGCGTCCAGTGAGCCGAGATCCTGGCCGGGTTTGGATAAGGCTCATAGTAATGAGTTAAAAGGGCTAAAACAGCTTAAATGAAGTTATGAGTTTTATATGTTAATGTCAGTAATAAAAAAAACAGACACCCACTATTTTTTTTTGGAAATATGATATCGTTTGTGGAGTGCCGCTAGGGGGCGCACTGGTAGGAGGAGTTAGGAATTCAAGGGACAGCGCTGCAGAATAAACCCTGCAGTCCTGAGATGCGAAAGACAAATCATCTGTCCCTTGTATTCCTTTTCCTAAGCTTTTACTTTGTACATTTTTGTAAAGCTTCAGCACAGAATGTACATGTTAAAGTTGCAGTTCATGTGCAAGTGCAGTGCCAGTGTAACAGTTGATGTCACGGGCAGGCAGTGTTGGGAAGGTCACTTTTAAAACGTATTCCCCTACAGATTACATACCCCAAAATGTAGTTTGTAACATATTCCATTAAATTACTTAACGTGAGTAACGTAATCTGAATACTTTGGATTACTTGATTTGCTGTAGAGAAACAAAGACGAGGAAATGTTAAAATAAGATGTTTTGTCTGCTAAAAAATAATGAAAAACCTCAGACTTTACTTAACCAAATTAAAAATATTATTGATAGAAGAGGAGGAGGAGACACGGTGCACGCGGCATGGTTTAGTCCTGTTAAATCCTGTTTTAGTCCTGTTTTAGACCTGGTTTAGTCCAAATTGTGAAAACAGTAAAATACCGCTGTGTAATCAATTTATTTCAACAAAGTAACTAACTGAATACAGTTACTCATAATTTGTACTCCGATTACGTAACCCCAGTACATGTAATCTGTTACTCCCCAACACTGCGGGCTGGTCGCCATGTTAAGTTGTTGCAGCTAAGTTAGTTACATAATTAATTAGATTTAAATGGTACAGTTTTGTTTGCTTATTAATTAATGTATAAATGTAAAACTTTAAACATGTATCAGTAAGTTCTGTAAGTAAGATGCAATGGAAATGTTTATTAGAAATTATTTGTTATAGCAGAATAAACCCTGCAGTCCTGAGATGCGAAAGACAAATCACCTGTCCCTTGTATTCCTTTTCCAGGGTTTACCTTCACACCCTCTCGAGCACGGGAGAGGCAACATTTGGTGCTGACAAAAGTAGTCCAGAAAGTTGGCTGGGGTCAACAGTATGTGTTTAAAAGACAAAAGACAAAACCTTTGTCAACAAAAAAAGTCAGGCCTCATAATCGCTTGGCACCATTTTCTCTCCGTTCGTATCTCTGCACGCTGCTGCCAGGTGACAGCCGCGCATGGATCCATCACTTTCTTCAGGTGTTTGGTGTTTACATGCTCAGGCCGGTGACTGCCGTGACATGAGAGCGCTAACGTGAGAGTTGGAGCATATAAACTTGCTTAAACTATATAAGAATATATCTAAAAAAAATGTCTGACTCTCCGCACACATTTCACCGTTTTCCTGTCAAGGACATTGCTCAGAGGCAACTTTGGCTTCTTGCCTTAGGCTTCAATGTGGAAACCAAATTGCCAAAGATAAAAAACTAAATGTGTGCCATGCGGAATTCGACAAAGATTATGTTCCTTCATGCCCAGGACAGAGAAAGAAATCTATTTTGAAGAGCACTGCTGTACCTGCACCCCAGGTAAGAACAAAGTGGTGCCGCTATGTTTACAAGCGAACAGGCTCAAGAATCAGCTAGTAACTCTGTGTGCCGCAAGTCACTCAATGTCATTTTACCAGTGAAGCTTCTACAAAACATAACGTTATATGTAGACTGTTATTATTGTCAGCAACTATGTGGACATGTGGATGATTCCATATTTCTAGTAGTCCATGCTTCCAGTCCCAGTATAGCATTATCAGTGTCTACTTTCATTTGTACCTTTACTCAGCTCCAATAACAACACTGACGTTGTCTGATTTTACTCTAGGTATACGCCAGTTTCTGTAGTATTCTGTAGATTGAAGGAAGCTGGGCAAGTGAGCCACTGCATACTTTCACCTTCTTTGGAGTAAACAATGATGTTAGTGCCAAGCAGTGATGCTGTGCCCATGAGTTCAGAATCTGTTGTTCAAACATCACACATAGCACTTGAAGTCATATACTCACTGATGTGCTGGTTGAGGTAGTTACTAAGCTTTTCACTGATATTCCCACTCATGTTCTGCACAACACTGCCACAGAGAGCAAAATGATGCTCTTCAGTTCCAATAAATATCAGGGCCAATATCAATTGCCAGTACCTTGGGTCATATGCAGTCTATTTGGTGCTGTTAATTTGTTTGCTCTCCCAAAGTAAACAGGCTTGCAGGTTCTAAAGCCTAAGGCCTCAGCTAGGTTTTTCCTTACTTGCTTCTTAAGCACTGTGAGATTCACTAGAGGTGCTCTTTTTTTTCTGCCATGTCTTCGAAGCTCTCTCAAACAGGAGTGGAATGGGAGGGACCCAAAAACTAGACAGCAGACCAAATTCAAAAAATTAAAAGGAGAATTTATTTTACAAGAGGTAGGATGCAGACTGGAGCAGGACTGGAGCAGGACTGGACTTGGGGTTTCAGGTTGGAGACGGCAGGGATCACTGGAGAGCAGAGAACACAGCTAAGTAAAAATGTCGAGGCAAAAACTTGGTATGGAGGAGCCAAGAGGTTCACCGTGTGTAAGTTGTATCTGGCAGAGTCCCGCAGGTGAGCAGGTCTAAAGTAGTCAGGATCTTGATTGCTCACAGGTGAGGAGAATTAGAGGTCCCAGACACACACACACACACACACACACACACACACACACGGGGGAAAGGGGGGGGGGGCACCAGTCATGACAATTAGACCACGTCCACAAGTTTAGGCTGCTTAAAATGTTTTTATTAATGCTAAATAAAATATCCAGCACATATTCTTTATGATAGGTACACATTAATCATTTGTATATTTTACTTTACACTCACATTTAGTTTGCAGGACTGCAGTTTATCATCCCACCCGCGTACAGTGACCTGTTAAAATGTGTCCCTTGGCACACTGTCTTGCGTTGGGTCCTGCGGGTTCTATCTAATTCATCACACCTATACTTCCCCAGTTTGGTCTAGAGACGTGTTAAACAGTCTAGGCTGTGTTAGGAAATCTAGCATAGGCCATTTTGGCAACACCAGTACTTTGTACAAGGCACCATATCAGCCAGACACAAAGTTCACAGGCACATGGGTGTTTTGTTTCATTCACACATGTTTGAGTAATCCTTTACTATTATACAGAAGCCGAGAGGGGTCACAACAAACGCAAATGCTGCAACAAATACAAGTGCGACAACACAACAAAAATCCACCACACACCAAAAAAAGCCATAACGGAAATTGACTAAATTTTAATACAAACGCTGCAACAAATTCAAACGCCACAACACATCAAAAAGCCACAACACATTAAAAAGCCACAACAGAAGTGACCGCGGGACTCTATTTTCCGATGGAACGATCAAACAGCAAGTGAAGAAGAAGAACTACAACGTGAAAAGTAAAAAAACGGAGAAGTTGGAAAAGTAAGTAAAAGTAATTTATTATTATTATTTGTTTCACGTTGTAGTTCTTCTTCTTCACTTGCCGCTTGATCGGTCCGTCAGAAAATAGAGTCCCGTGGTCGTTAAAAGCCATTGTGGCTTTTTTGGTGTGTTGTGACTTTTTGTTGTGTTGTCGCATTTGTATTTGTTGTGGCGTTTGCGTTTGTTGTGACCCCTCTCAGCTTCCCTACTATTAGTCTGTCTACATCTCCAAAGCTCAATATGCTCGCTTCCACCTTATGAAGTAGTAAGTTTTCAAGTTAAGAAATACCTTTTACCTTTAGTTCAGCTGAGATTTTTGAAAACACAGTGGAGCACTTCGTGTATTACCACATGACATCACAAGGTGGAAAAGAGTGTTTTCTGTTTAGAGAAGAACTCAGCCTAAATATGCAGTGTAATTGCAGTGTTCATTCTCCTTTTAACTTCCTCTTGGATCTCCTGCAGCAGAGTAATCTACAACAAAACATAGAAAACCAAACCACGGCAACTACGATGGCTAACAAAAATGCAACTACGTCTAAACAAAAGTAGGAATACCACGGCAAGCTGTAGCCCACCGCCTGAAGATGGGGCACGCCTTTATTTCTAATCACGTACTCAATCCAAAACAAGGCTGTGTCCATTGGAGTCATTGGCTTGTCATGATGCAATCTTGAAAGGCGCTGAATATTTTCAAGGTACGATGGATTCTCTACGACGTCCTTAACCGCCTCCATGAAAGACTCCTTGGTGATGGATTTTGCTTCAACTATCCTGGCAGCCCCACGCGCCTGCAGCCGGATCACGTTATCAAACTGGTCAAAAAGCAACGGCAAACCTACTACAGGAACACCGTGGTAGATGGCTTCGTATATACCATTGGTGCCTCCATGGGTTACGAACGCGCGAGTTTTGGGGTGTCCGAGGAGATCTTTTTGAGGCAACCATTTCACCAGTAAAGTGTTGTTACCCAAAGCGGTCGGTGGTTGTCCACTGTACCTCCATATAACTTTTTGTGGGAGTTCTGCAAATGCCGCCACGATGGCCTCGGTTGTTTTTTGAGGTAAAGCGAACACGAAAGTTCCTATGGACATTACAATGACTCCGTGATCGCCGGAACTTTCAACAAACTTTTCCAACTCATCTGGGAGGGGAGAGGGTTCCTGGCACTGGAACCCACCGATGTAGACCACGTTGGGCATAGTCGGACGTGGAAACTCAAAGACGAAGTCCGCTCTTACCAACCAGATGTCCGCAGAGAGCTGCAAAGACAACAAGTCAGAACCAGGAGGGAAGTGTCGCGCCATGAGATTGGAATATGCTGGGTAGATGAGAAACTGCAGCTCTACTTCGCTATATATCTGGAATAAGACATTTTTCACTCTGTCCATGAAGTCCATCTTGTCGGTAAGTTCCGTTCCCGTCAGCGGAACATAAGAAGAAGGTGAAGGCGCCATCGTGAAATGGCTGTCTCCGGTGTTTATCCAGCGAACATTGAAAACCATCGGTAACTTGAGGTATCGTCCGAGGATTGTGCCCAGGGGAAAGCCAGGGTCTGTTAACATCAGGGTGAGAATGTACTTTTGACAAAAGGAACTCATGAACTGTGACTTCTTACGACATTCTATGACATCTATAAGTATTCTGTTGTAGACCTCCATGTCCTCCTTATCCTTCAGGATACGTATGTTAATGGAGGTGTACACAGTGGAGTTCTCAGGGATGTACCAGCTCTTTGCAGAGTGAAGCACAGTGATTTCATGACCTCTGGCGTGTAGCTGTCTCAGGATGAGCTCCATGTTGAGCCAGTGGCTGCCATCCACTGGGGCCACCAGAATCCTGCTGCTGTCACCACCGGGGCATCTGAGCAGCACAGCAGAGAGGACACACAAGGTGAGGGAGAGGGGGGTCCACATTCTAAGAAGAAAATTAAAATGTAAGGCATTACATTACTTTAAGTTACTCTCACCAAAATAACTGCGAAGATGCTGAACTTTTGCGCCATATATGGACTGAACCAGAACTAAACCAGGACTGAACCAGGACTATAACAGGACTAACCTCTGACTGATTCCAGGACTGAAGAGGAGGACTAAATCAGGACTGAACTAGGACTAAAAGAAGACTCACTATCGGGACGGGCTTGAAGGAGACCGCAGGAGAAAGGACCGGCTCTGCTCTGCACCTCACGGAGGTAAGAGCGGCTGTCGCCCGATCGCTCTTTATGGACACCCTGCTGCGGGGGCTCGCGGTCCTGATTTCAGCAACTATTTGCAGGTACCCGACCCGATAAAACTCTGCTACAGCACATAACTTCTACCTTCTTCAGCGTGTCCAGAAACCCAACTTTTTGTGCGATGGTTACATCTTCCTCTGCCTTTTGAGTGTGACCGCAGGAGCTTTTGTCAGTGCAGAAAGTTTCATCGACCTTGTGAATTTTGTCAGGGAGAAAACTTACAAACATACAGCACTTTGGAATCTCACTGCTAGAGATCGAACATGTATTTAAATTTGGCAGCTGAACACATTCTGTGCTGTACTGTACAGGAGTAGGAGTCCCTTAGCCAATCAGGACGCAGCGGGAGGAACGCAATACGTGTTCATACACTGTAAAAACAAAAGGCATGCAAAATTGCACAAAAAAATATCTGCGAAACAGCAAGACCACAAAAGGTGAAAGCGCAATAGAACGAGGGACGACTGTTAAACAGGTCTAAACCAGAACTGACCCAGGTCTAAACCAGAACTGACCCAGGTCTAAACCAGAACTGACCCAGTCTAAACCAGAACTGACCCAGTCTAAACCAGGTCTAAACAGTGTGGAGTTCTGTGTTGGTTCTTTCGCTAACTGTGTTAACTGAAGGTCTAGGCGGCCGCGTCTCCGTTGTTTCACCGCTACTGATATCGCGGTGATTTTAGCAAATTTCTATGAAGAAAAACCCACCACTTCGATCCAGGTTAAAAATGCATTGTAACGCGTGTTACTGACATTTGTACCGAGTAAAATATTACTTTTTTTTTCCCTGTAATGCCTTACTTTACTGCATTACAGCAAAAAGCAATGCATTACAGGAATTCGTTACTTTTATAACGGCGTTACTCCCAACACTGGTTATAATACTATTACTTCCTCAAAAACAGACCTGGAGTTGTGTTTTGTTTTATTCACACATGTTTGAGTAATCGTTTATTAGTCTGTCTACAACTCCAAAGCTCAAAATGATGTCATGAAGTGGCAGAGTTCAAGTTGACAGCTACTTTTTATCATTTGTTCAGTAATAATAATGGACAATTCCAGGGCTGAAATGATCAGAGACAGAAACAGACGAGTTATTTTGGTCAGAACTATATCTTGAATTAATATAAATAAGATCTTATATTCATCTGTCACCTGTCCTGCGCTTCACTGTGTTTGGTTTTCACAATCAGAACACAAAGCACAGCCAATGTTTACACAGAACAGCCTGACCCACTGCTCACATCCACTACCAACAACATCAACAAACTTATTAACTTATTACAATAACAAAACGGTCCCAACATGAACACACAGAACACCAGAGCAGCTCATTTACACACTGTTTAACTATAACACTATTTACCTGTGACGCTTTGTCCTCAGATTTTCCCAAAAGTAAAGAAAACAAGCCTCTTACCGTAATTCTCCAGGGGACTGATGCAGAGTGTATCTTCTATCCACTGTCCTGTTGGTTCTGTCTCCAATATGAACAGATCAAACTGGTCCAAGTCCAGTCAGGTCCGTGATGTGAGGTCAGGGAGCCGAGTCTTAACTCTTTCCCCCTTGGACGTCTACTAGGAACAACCCATTAGTGGAGCAGATTAGGTCTCCAAACCACAAGAATCGTTCAGTTAGTGATACAAGCACCACATTTCTCATATATTTAGCTTACATCATGCTCTTTTAGAAAAACCCATTAGCCACCTGAAATATTCAACATGGCGGCCATTTTTCAAGATGGCCGACCAAACAACTGATTTCACATAAGTATGAGCTAAAAGACAAAAAGTCATCATGTTCTTAATCAAAATTAATTCAATAAATCACAAATTTGCAAATATATACATTTACAGTAATGCAATGTCAGGTATTCAACACATTTTACACCAAAATATATTTAATTTTGCACAAAAATTCATTAAATTTTCTTGCAGTTTGAAACCAAAAGTATCCCAATAACCATTTGGGAAGTAGAAATAAAAACATGAGCAAAATTAAAATAAAATGCAATATACTGACATAGGTTAATTTCAGAAATAGAGCCATTAAAATAGAACCATTCATAGTGCTGGATGTGCTTAAGAACTATCAACTAAAGTTTGCCATCATTAAGATTTTTAGCACATTCATTCAGCCGATCATTTAACTGCACTGTTGATGCTTGTCTTAGTTCAGAAGCTGGTTCTATGTTATCACATAAAAAAAAATAAAAAAAACAACTGCTTCTGCACAGTTCTTCTCATTTGTGAATGTCCTTCATCTGAGTCCATGAGCTGCTCTTTAGTTTGTCCTTTCAGGTTTACTGTTACTGAACAATAATCTGCAGCTTTGGTGATTTAATTTTTTATTAGCATTTCTTCAATGCCACGACCGTCATTCAGTCTGGTACATCCTGTCAATTCAGGTACGACTATCGAACTTTAATACTACAACTAATATTAGTATAACTAATACTAAAACTACTAGCTGGTGTATTTACAGACCTAATTCGATAGCATTTGGGACACTACATCATGCTACATTAACTACATTAAATATTAGAATGTTAGTAACACTAGACAGCCCACACTGAACCCCATGCTGAGTTTCACATTATGCCCTGGTTGTGCTACGGTCCCACCCATTTCTAGAATAAACACATATATATTCTAACAAAAACATATTTTAGCACATTGGTACTACATATATTTAATGTTTCTTCAGGCAGGTTTCAATAAGATTTGTCCATGAGATTTCTTTCTACTGTGTGTTATTATTTAATGACATTTATTTGTAGATATTATAAATATAATGGAAGGTAATAAATAACCACCAAAAATGATTTGATGAATAATTTCACACAAAATAGAAATAATTAATTAAATAACAAACCTATGCTTCGACATTTATACATATATAGTTATATATAGTTATCCGTATTGAAAAATTGCCACCATCTTGGATATTTTTGGTGACTAACAGGTTTTTCATAAAGACCATGTTATTATCTGGGCCCAGTCAAGCAGAAGTAAACATCAAGGCCAAAAATTCAAGTTAATGCATCTGATATAAAAATATATTCAACAGATACATATGTACTCTAGTTTATGAAACTGTTGCCCTTTGTTCTGTACCATTTTTGGTTCGAAAGTTCCATATGTTTTAAACAGACCATGTATGAAACATGGAACAAAAATTATTTCCCAAATTTCAAAGACCTGCAAATCATGTAAATAAATGGATGTATTTCATCATATCTTGTGTTATTCCATCTTTGAACTGTTGATGAAGGTCCATGATTTTTCAAAAAAATTTATTTAAAATGATAAAAATTTGCTTGGAAGGACTGACATATTTTATAGAAATAGTTTCCTTTCATTTTGAAGTAATATTAAAGTATTCAGAAGAAAAAAGCGACAAATTATATAAAATCATGCACTTTCTACTTGTTTGAACAATTTTCCCTCCGTTACCATGACCTTTCTTAATAAAAAATCTCATGACAACAACTTGAAAGAATATCACAGGTTTAACTTGACCCTGTTGGAGTGTAACTCTTTCCTACATTCTGATAATTTACTTCTTTCAATAGTCCCTCTAGTTTCTGAATAAGAGCTATTTGAATGTAAAAAATCTGCCCGTTTCCCTCCGTTACCACTTGACCGGACCCATCTATCTCCACTCCAAATTTGATGCTTGTACCACAAACTGAATGATTATTTCAACTACCACTTCCACTAATACCAGTACTTTGCATCTGGCTGATATGGGTGCCTTGTACATAGTTCACAGGCACAGGGGTGTTTTTTGTTTCATTCACACGTTTGAGTAATACTTTACTATTAGTCTGTCTATGTTGTCTAAGTTGACAACTGCCTTTTACCTTTATTTCAGTTGAGATTTTGTAAAACACAGTGAAGCACTTCCTGTATTACCACATAACATCACAAGTTTTTTTTTTTTCTGTTTAGAGAATAACTCAGCCTAAATATGCAGGGTTTGTGTAAATGAAACAAAACACAACTCAATAGTGTAAATCAGGGGTCTCAGACTCGCGGCCCGGGGGCCAACTGCGGCCCGCGGAAGGATTTTTTGCGGCCCTCCACTTGATTCCAAAGAATAATGTCAGTGCGGCCCGCGGTAGATGTACACACAATCCCATCCGCACTGACAGATGAAGCTGGAATCGGTGCCCATGCAGATTCACAACAACAGATTATTAACGCAGTTTACATCCCAAAACTCAACTTACAGCAGTTGTGAAACAATGAGTCTAAGTGGATCTGTTAATACAAGTACACGTGCACATACGGCGTCACCGAAGAACCAAAACAAACCACACATGGTGGTACACGTGTGCGCACTTCACTTTACGCTCCCACAGCCACAGTATCAGAGCGCAGAGGAGGCGCTGACACAATTCCCTGTTCATAAGTATGGGACCTTTATTGGAGGGGCTAATAAGAAATAAAAAGACTTTGACAGTCTGTTTACCTGCTCAACACTCCGTGCGTAACTTGCTGGCAACACGATGACCAAGCTCCACATATGTGTCGCCGAAATCCACGTGCACTCAGCGGCAAACACAGCTGTCCCATCAATATGCAAGCACCACAAAACTGCACTGATCTATTCCAGAGGCTTGGCAACATGTTAGCAAAAAGTATGAGGCAAAAACAAGCGTCTTCCATCCATGTTTGACATACGAGAAACAGATACACTCCAGTGTGGCGCTTTCACACCGGCAAACGAACCAAAACTGGTCCTATTAACGAGCCTCTGTATCCCGGTAGAACAGTGATATCTCCAGTAACCAATACTGATGTTCCCTGTTAATACCGCGGGCCGTCCTCATCTTATCACCATGAACTCATAAAACAGCAACATGTAGAACTTTGTACAAACTCACCGCATCAGCCCAGAGTTCAGGAAACAGCAGCAGCCAACAGTGCTCACCGTAGCGCGCGGCTCCTTACGATAGCGCTGGGGTCTGGTTCTTGGTCTTCTGTCGTCCTACAAGCGCGTTGGTCAGATGGTCCGGAGGCTCCATCCTCCATGTGCTGGTTCCAGACGGTGGCGAGCAAGACCAGTGCGCAATGACTGGGTCTGAGCGGGTACGTTCCGCCGTCTGCGCGCTGGTTCCCTGTTCCTTGTGGGGAAAGTGAGAATGCGCTGTGGACTACACCTACAGGTCTGTGCTGCTCCTGTCCTCCGCGCTCAAGAACCGCGGCTGGTTCCGAGGTGGTGCAAAGCATCCGGACAGAAGCGTGAATCCAGTTTAGTTGGTGTCCATTTGGTTCTTCCCGGGAAAAGCGCTTTTCACTCCCCGCTCCACGTCATCTGAGCCCGGACAGAACCGGAGCTGCTCCTGCTGGTTCGGGACTCTGGTTTGGATCTAGTCCGACTGTATTTCTCACACTAGGCTAAAAGCAGGAAATTTTTTAAAGGTGAATCAATTGAATGGGCGATTACCTATTGCCATAAAATTATTTGGTTAATTAAAGCCTAAAATAACAAATGCTGGTTCCTACATGATCACGGGGAACACCAGGACCTCTCTGTACGTGCAGGTCCTGAACAGAAGTACACACCCCCATTTTTGACTCACTCTGGAGCCACACGTTCGCACATTGGTTCTTGCTCTGATGTTTGTATGTTACATTCTCTTTATTGGCCATTGTTGGTAAAATAATTAGAAAATGAATCGCGGCTGCGTCTGGACAACAATCTGTTACTGCGCTGGAGTCGTACAGCGCGTCATTACAGGCAAAGGAGACGCGTTTCTCCCATGATGCATCTAGAATAGTTCGTTTGGACCTGCTGTCTGTGGTTTGGACCCGGGTTCACGTTCACACCAGAGGAACCGCACCAAAGTTGGTCAAATACTGTCGGTGTGAAAGCACCTAATACAGGTCAAGGCTCACTGATGAGCATCTTCAATCTATCCTGAGGATCTGCTTCCTCCTGCAAGCCAAATATCTCTCAGCTGTACAAGATGAAGCGTAGCCAGGTTTCAACCAGCAAGGAGAAGGTAAAAGAAGAAGAGTAGACGTATTAGTTTAAACTTGCGTTCTAAATACATTTTCATGTTCTGAACTGTTATTAAAGATTAAGAAAGTGTGTTGCATGTTGTTCTTTCTCTCTCTTTTTTCCCCGTGCAGCCGCTATTTATCGAATACTCAATGCGGCCCAGCCTCACTCAGACTTTATCTAATGTGGCCCCCAGGTAAATTGAGTTTGAGACCCCTGGTGTAAATAGACCCTTTGCAGTGGTCCAAATATGTTCCTCTTATTTTTATTGCATTTGTAGCATCCTAATTCTTGATCACAATGAATTCATAAGCACTTTTCACAACAAGGCTACAGTGGAGTAACTAGCATGATAACAGTGCATTTATATTTCTCAGAGGACCTTAACATTATGATAGATCAATAAACAATAGATCCACTCACTTTTATATTTGATAAACATATTCATATTCTGATATTCTAGTTTTGTTCATTCTCCTTTTAACTTCCTCTTGGATCTCCTGCAGCAGACTAATCTACAACAAAACATAGAAAACCAAACCACGGCAACTACGATGGCTAACAAAAATGCAACTACGTCTAAACAAAAGTAGGAATACCACGGCAAGCTGTAGCCCACCGCCTGAAGATGGGCACGCCTTTATTTCTAATCACGTACTCAATCCAAAACAAGGCTGTGTCCATTGGCGTCATTGGCTTGTCACGATGCAATTTTGAAAGATGCTGAATATTTTCACGGTACGACGGATTCTCTACGACGTCCTTAACCGCCTCCAGGAAGGACTCCTTGGTGATGGATTTTGCTTCAACTATCCTGGCAGCTCCACGCGCCTGCAGCCGGATCACGTTATCAAACTGGTCAAAAAGCAACGGCAAACCTACTACAGGAACGCCGTGGTAGATGGCTTCGTATATACTGTTGGTGCCTCCATGGGTTACGAACACACGAGTTTTGGGGTGTCCGAGGAGATCGTTTTGAGGCAACCATTTCACCAGTAAAGTGTTGTTACCCAAAGTGGTTGGTGGTTGTCTAGTGTACTTCCATATTATTTTTTGTGGGAGTTCTGCAAACGCCGCCGCGATGGCCTCGGTTGTGTTTCGAGGTAAGGCGATCACGGAAGTTCCTGTGGACATTACGATGACTCCGTGATCGCCGGAACTTTCAACAAACTTTTCCAACTCATCTGGGAGGGGAGAGGGTTCCTGGCACTGGAACCCACCGATGTAGACTACGTTGGGCATAGTCGGACGTGGGAACTCAATGACAAAATCTGCTACTACCAACCAGATGTCCGCAGAGAGCTGCAAAGACAACAAGTCAGAACCAGGAGGGAAGTGTCGCGCCATGACATTGGAATACATCGGGTAGATGAAAAACTGCAGCTCTATTTCGGTGAATATCTGGAACAAGACATTTTTCACTCTGTCCATGAAGTCCATCTTGTCTGTAAGTTCCGTTCCCATCAACGGAACGTAAGAAGAAGGTGAAGGTGCCATCGTGAAATGGCTGTCTCCGGTGTTTATCCAGCGAACATTGAAAACCATCGGTAACTTGAGGTAGCTTCCGAGGATTGTGCCCAGGGGGAAGCCAGGGTTTGTTAACATCAGGTCAAATTTAGCGTCATACATCTTCTTCATAAAAAGAGGATCATCCAGAAGAAATGCGGTGGAATTGGCAATAATCTTATGAACTGTACTCAGCTGCTGGGTGATTATGTACTTTTGACAGAAGGAACTCATGAAATGTGACTTCTTACGACATTCTATGACATCTGAAATCATTCTGTTGTAAACATCCAAGTTATCCTCGTCCTCCAGCATACGTATGTTAATGGAGGTGTACACAGTGGAGTTTTCAGGGATGTACCAGCTCTTTGCAGAGCGGAGCACAGTGATTTCATGACCTCTGGCGTGTAGCTGTCTCAGGATGAGCTCCATGTTGAGCCAAGGGCTGCCGTCCACTGGGGTCACCAGAATCCTGCTGCTGTCACCACCGGGGCATCTGAGCAGCACAGCAGAGAGGACGCACAAGGTGAGGGAGAGGGGGGTCCACATTCTAAGAAGAAAATAAAAAAGTAAGGCATTAGATGCTTCTACTTGGATTTATTTTGGATTTAAAGGTCCTGCAAACTAACTAAATTTGAACAAAATTTTAAACTTGTACATATGTAGGCCGCACCTGAATATAAGCCACAGGTGTCCACATCTTCAAGAATGTTTTCAAGGTCATACTGTTTGCTTTTAGTGCCTCTGAAAGCTTTTGTCGTCTTTTTTCATTGAGTCAGTTCGTCACGCTGCTGTCTCACCATCGAATCACTGATGTCGAGCTCACGTGCAGCAGCTCTGTTTCCTTCTTTAACAGCTACATCATTTGCCTTTAACTTAAAAGCTGCACCATCTGCATTTCTTTGTGTATTTTCCATGAGGAGAGTGTGTGTATGAAGTGCAAAATAACTGTTCAAAATTAGCATCTTCCTCAGCCTATCGCCCTCGTCTCTCCCTGCATTTTACTGCGCATGTCTCCTGCAGAAAGAGTCTCTGGAGCTAAAAAAAAAAGAAAAGTGGACAGAGAATGTCGAGTGTTTAATAAGGAGTGGACAGCTAAATATTTTTTTACCGAACACCGATCAACTGCTGTATGCCTGCTCTGCAAAGAGAGTATAGCGTTTTTAAAGAAAATAATATCAACCGTCACTTTACCACAAAACATGCTAACTATGCTGGCAAGCAGACAGAGAAAGAACAGGAAGCTACTGCTCAGAGGTTGGTAGCTAATTTACAGGCTCAACAAAATTTGTTTCATGGTCAAACTGCCATTCAGGAGTCAAGTACCAAGGTGAGTTTTATGTTGTCATTCAAAACAGGAAAGGCCAGCAAACCTCTGTCAGAAGGCGAGTTTTTAAAAGAATGTTTGGTGGAGACAGCAGGTGTTTTGTGTCCAGAGACCAAAGACAAATTTGAAAAAATCAGTTTATCACGCAAGACAGTGACTCGCTGTGTGGAACTGATAGATGAAATGTGGAGATCAAATGTGGAGAAATACAGCAAGTTCAGTGGATGCGCTGCACGGAGAATTCTGCCGTCGCTTTTCTGATTTTGAAAAAATTGACAAGTTACTTAAGTTGGTGGCCTGTCCCCTGTCACAAGACCCTGAAAAAGCACCAGAGGAGCTGCAACTGGAACTGATCAACCTTCAGTCTGACCTATTCTTAAAATTGAAGTTCAACGCTCTTAAACTGAATGACTTTTATGCTTCACTTAATGAAGCAGTGTTTCCAAACCTCTGGAGGAGGGCACAGAAGATGCTGGCGTTGTTCGGCTCAACCTGTGTGTGTAAACAGACGTTCAGTGTCATGAAGATCAACAAGTCCAGTCACAGATCCAAGTTGACTGACCAACACCTCAGATCCATCCTGAGAATCGCTACAACCAACCTAACTCCAGACTTTGATGCACTGGCTAAAATGGGGCACCAACAACACTCTTCCCACTGATCATCAAAAGTAAGTTTCTCTGCTGTTACGTAAAAAAATGCATTTACATGTTACCATAGTTTTTGGATTATAAATCTCACTTTTTTCATGGTTTGGTTGTTTCCTGCGATTTATACTCCACTGCTACTTACATATTGAAATTTTCACACTGACAGCCGCAAGAGTGTGCTCTAGCCTTGTGTGTGAGTATCTGCTGCTCCTGGTACTCCTATACCACTGTTACTTCACTGTACCGCACGTATCACTTGCAGAAGAAGCCGCTGTTTTGAAATATTCAGCCAAAAATGTGAATCGAGAAACAGAAACAAAGTTTGGAGTGAGAGAGAAATGTGTGAAGGACTGGCAGAAAGCGGGGATGAAGAACACAGCTTCACAGGAACCGGGAGGATGCACCATGAAACTTTCCTGAAGTCACTGGATGGATGGACAAAGCCTGGACTTCAGTGACACTGAAACCATCCTGTCGGGATTCAGAAAGGCCAGAATAATTCTAACTGGAACTGATGCTGAGTCTGAGGACAGCGACACAGAAGAGGAAGCGGCGCTGTGTTTACCTCCAGAGGGACGCGAAGTTGCTCAGAAGTGACACCGAGGATGAAGAATTGAATGGATTTAGTGATTTGGAGTGAGATGAGAGTTTATTAAACTTATGTTTTGTTGTTTATGCTATAGTTATCTGAAGAACTGTTCATATGTGACGTTAACATACCAGACGCGTCTTTAGTCTGTTGTTCTCTGTTCTGTTGTTATTACAAGAACTTGCCTTTCAAGATAAAATGTCGGTTCCTGGTCTCTGATTTTATGAAATAAATTTCCCCCAAAAAGCGCAACTTACAGTCCGGTGCGACTTATATATGTTTTTTTTTTTTCTTCTTCATTACGCATCTTTTGGCTGGTGTGACTTATACTCCAGAACGACTCATAGCCTGAAAAATACTGTATATTTTGTTGTAATGCTTTGTAATGATTTTCAATTATGGGATATTTCAATAACAACATATGTTTTCTACATATTATTATTATTATTTTCTCTTAGGAGGTGGATTACCAAAAAATTCTGTCTGTTCCAGGTCCGGCCCTTCAGTCAAATTTTAGAACCCTTTGCAGCCCCCGAGTCAAACAGTTTGCCCACCCTGATTTAGAATCATAAATTATTTTATCACACACTGATAAACTGTTTTAGGGCTGACAACAGCACAAGCTAATGTTGCAACTTCATGTTAATCACACAAACAGCAGCAGTTTCTGCACTCTGGCTTATAGTCCACAAATGACAGTGTCATACACGTGTCCAACGAGCGTCTGACGCTGACGCGCTGCTCAAGATAGGTTGGAGTTCTAATTTTGCAGCGTCAACGGTGCGTCTCCAAGGTTTTAACAGGGGAAAGACAGGAAATAAACACACAGTGCCAAAATAAACTTCCAATGCCCTTTCAAAATAAGTTAACCAAAGTTGAGACAACAACGTAAACAACGTGCACTGGAAAGGTTAATGATGGACGACAAAAAGAAAAGTTAATCCTCAACGTGGAGAAATATAACATAATTTACAATGTCAGACAATTCAATTATTCAAGGACTCAGGACTAAACCAGGATTAAACCAGAACCAGGACTTACTGTCAGAATAGGCTCGGACTGTCTACACGCCCATGTAGACATTTGAATGACTGTGGGCGAAAGAACCAGTGCCGATCTCAGCGCCCCAAGGAGGTATGTGCAGCCGTCACCCGATTGTGCTTTTCAGACACCTGCTCCACGGGCTCGGGGTTCAGTTCTCTCTCTCTCTCTCTCTCTCTCTCTCTCCCTCCCACTCTCCCTCTCTCTAAGATTAGTCCTGGTTTAGTCCTGACCCACCTGTAAAATTCCAGAATGTTAAAACTCACCCGTTTCAGCAACTATTTGCCCGTATCCATCGGTGCAGGACTCTGTATCAAAATATATATTGGCCTTATGACCTGTACATACATAAGGTTTTACTCACACTTGTAATGCATGTTACATGAACCATTAATTATAGATGAATTAACCTTATTAAACAAAAAAACTATTATTAAAAAAAAAAAAAACACTTAGAAAATAGAGCCCGAATGATGTACCTCTTCTTTTTTTATTTTAATTTTTTTATTTTTTCTCTTGCTGCTCAGGGCTTCCGGTCCTATATATTTATAAACAACATTATAACATAGATCAGAAAAATAGAGCAATATGTACAAATGTATAAACATGTATAAATCTGAAATTGCCCTTCAGTACAGCATTGATATAAGTACACATAATTCAAGTAAATGTAAATAGTTTCTTACCACCTTTGATACAAAACTGTCTCTCCATAGACTGGACTACATTCAAATTTTTGTTTCGTACCTGGTGATTTTTTTCTCAGATCCAGCGCTGTAAACTCCACGTCCCAAACCTTTTTCTGTGAATGAGGTTGTTACTATTTTCAGATGGTCTTTACTCTATGAGCAAACTCCACTCTGGCAACACTCCAGCTCAGTTCACAATAAAGTCAGGAAACCTGATATTCACAACTTATTACCCACTACAGTACCCAAAATGGACTCTTATAATGTTATAATACTGTTACCTCCTCAAAAACAGACCTGGAGTTGTGTTTTGTTTTATTCACACATGTTTGAGTAATCGTTTATTAGTCTGTCTACAACTCCAAAGCTCAAAATGATGTCATGAAGTGGCAGAGTTCAAGTTGACAGCTACTTTTTACCATTTGTTCAGTAATAATAATGGACAATTCCAGGGCTGAAATGATCAGAGACAGAGACAGACGAGTTATTTTGGTCAGAACTATATCTTGAATTAATATAAATAAGATCTTATATTCATCTGTCACCTGTCCTGCGCTTCACTGTGTTTGGTTTTCACAATCAGAACACAAAGCACAGCCAATGTTTACACAGAACAGCCTGACCCACTGCTCACATCCACTACCAACAACATCAACAAACTTATTAACTTATTACAATAACAATACCAGTACAAACAGCATATGAAATGAACACCAGAGCAGCTCATTTACACACTGTTTAACTATAAC